AGATAAGATTAATGTATCAACATTGAAATATAATATGAGTTAAATTAATTGCGATTCGACTTAATATATAATACAATTTAATTCTGAACATTTAAATCAACAAATTTGGTACAAATATATAATCCTTGGGAATTAAGTCAGCATCAATACCATCGAATAATTAAACGAATTCGATGGAAGCGATTGGAAACAAATTGCTAAAACAATTAAATCGTCAAAGGTAAAGGTTCCGTGTTATCTAATACCTATTACAAACGAGTTCATTTTCTTTTGTTAAAGACATTTAACAAAACCTATATTAATTAATTCTTAAAGTTATTTTCATGAAAACTTCTAGAACCTATGTACGACAATACACTAAACTTTAGTGACTAAAGGTATATAAAACATGTCTTAATTGCTGACAGAGAATTATATTTAGTATGAAAAAATATTTAACTGAGACTAATATTTTTCGGATGTACTACGCGATTTTAACTTAAAATTTTACCAATATTAAGGTACCTTTTTATACATTTTTTCAATTCGTAAATAATAAAGGTACAAGCTGGAATTTTGGCAGGGTTGAATTTTATTTGTAATTTACTTAATACATATTAATTCATAATAAACAGAATATCTAAGTGTATGGAGCCAGTATAAGTGTAGAAATAGTTAAATAGAAAGCCACTTTATGTTATTTTCTATGTACTATAAAAGAGCAATTTCAGTCATTTTACGTCAGATTTTAAATCACCATTCAGTAGTGCATCGTTTAATTGCAAGTGAAGTAATTGCGTCTGCTGAACAACACTCATGTATTGTGTAGATTCTTTAATTCACGTACTAGAGTATGCGAGTTGTTTTGTGATTATTTCACTTATATAACTCTATGAGAGCTCTTAAGAGGTTTTATATCTTGCTATATTAAAATTGTTATATATACATATTTTATTCGAGATATATGTATATAAATATTTGGATGTTAATGAAGATTCGTTCTAGAAGTTTGTCAAAGATTTAGTTGGTATTAAAAATATATATAAGTCATAATATTTTAAACTATTGAATATATATTTTGTAGTAATTTTGACGCATTGAAGCAGAATAGGGTACCGAGAATAACAGGGCAAGGCATGTTGGACATTGGCTGTACGCCAGCGATCCCAATAACATGATGCAGTTTCTTCGTTTTATTTATATAATCTGTGGCGGCTTATTATGGCGGGGAAGTATAGGCATCGACTATTCTTAATTCATGTAATTATTGCGACTTTACTATATTGACAATGGTTTGTATGTGTAGAAATATATATAAATACTAAAGCAGGATTTAATTTTCATCATTGGCAGATTATTTTGTTATTATTTGTTTGTTTTTATTATATATTTCTTTTGACTTCATAAGTGACAGACAGGGACATCAAATCCATTAAACCAAGAAATTATTTATACGAAAGACATTAGAGAACCTAATATAATAAGAAAAAATAATATATATCATTGTAAAATCATATAATGAATCAGTCAGCCTCCAAGTACGCCGTAAGAATTCAAAATATTTTGCTTTATCTCACTACCAAATTTCAAAAACGCCCTAAATACAATTCATATAAAAATTATTAATAACTTATATGAAGGCACTTAAAAGATAATAAAATTTAAAATCTTTTATCCAAATGAATGTTTAATAAGCACGAAAAATTTTAAACAATTTTTTTATATTCCAAAGTTTGGAAACGAGAGCAAGTTAAATATTTAAAAAGCCGGTAATGTAGGTCCGCATAAAATGTTAGCTTGAGATACACGTACGAAATATAATACCATTGTTGTTAACAAAAGGATTATACAGGGTGACTGGTGAATTACTATCAATATTTAAGGAGAATACTCGGTACATGATTCTCACTCGAATTATGTGAAAAAAATAGGTACTTAATTTTTGACAAAACTTCCGTAAAATATACGAAATAGATTTGAAAAATATATTTTCCATTAAGGAAAAAGTGTTTGTATGTATTAATAAAACTCTAGAAGATAAATTGAATGAGAAACCTCAGATAACAACGTCTAGTGTCTCGAGTCTAGACAAACAGTCTACTTTCAATGGCCTAACAGATAATTTTAATTTCTTTTCATGATAGGTCTAGAGAAAAATGTTTTCGACGATATGGTAAGAAATATATTTACGATTAATTTTTTATTTAAACCACTATAATACATATCTCTTTCTTAATCCACGTAATCGTAAATGCTTCGTTATTTCATTGAAAGGATATTTTGACCGTTGCTTTCGTAATTTTTTGTTTCGATTCAATTTGACATATAACAATACTTACTAATATTATTCTACAGAGTTTTTGCCTGACTTAGTTCTTGTGGACTTTTGAAAGGATCAGAGAGAAATGCATAAAATGTTAAACCAAAAATATGGCACGCAAAACGGCATTAAAATCTACAATGTGTGGTTCACATGACAATTCACAATACTACTATTATTCTCTGGTCCTAAAGTAAATGTATCGAATTTTGTAATAAATAATAGCCTATATCTCATTCTCATGTCTGACCTACGTTACTGTAAAGTTTCATCAAGATCAATTTAATATATTTTTAGTTAAATAGCAACAAACATCCACAATTCCATAAACATTATCAAACACCCGTACATCGGTACAGGCTCATAAACTTTAGCGTTTATACTATTAGTATTAGGTCACTATCTTAAATATTTTGATGTATAATCGATATTTGGTCTGTATAGTATAGTAGTGGCCTAATGGTTAAACGCCCGCCTCTCGTGTACGAGGGCACGGGTTCGATCCTGGCAAGTATCAATAGGATTTTTCCGTGTCATATGTACTTTTTAAGAGTATTTAGACACTACTGTGAGACGGTGAAGGAAAACATCGTGAGGAAACCTGGACTTATAATTTCACAATTATAAGTTTGAAATCACAAACCCGTCCTTGAGCTAGCGTGGTGATTAATGCTCAAACCTTCTCCATGTGAGAAGAGGCCTTTGCTCAGCAGTGGGCTCTGACAGGCTGATGACGATGCCGAGGTCAATTAATAAGGACATATTCACATATTTATGTGATCCAGACATTGTTTTTGTTTTGAATAAAATAAGGGTATCAATAGTTTATGGCCTTGTTTTTTTAATTATACTTTGGTATTTCATATATCTACATATCTATGACAATTATTAATTGGCGATTAAATCTTTTATGGAGCTAAAGTATCAAAGATTTTAGATAAAGATTTGTATGATATACAGGGTGACTGGTGAATTACTATCGATATTTGAGGACGTGATATTTGACGATCATATATGACAAAATAAAAATTAATATAACATAAATATTAATAAACTTCTAAGTAAAGTTAACCAAAAGTTATGTAATTAATTACGCATCGTATGAACACCCTACAGATTAGGTATACACTGACACTCACACATACGCATGTCGTGACGTGGTGTTGTATCAACACGTCGCCGCACGCGTCCACACTTGAACACTTGGAACGTGTCAACACTTTACTTATTTATACGGAAATTTTGTCAAAAATTAAGTGCCTATTTTTTTTTACATAATTCGAATGAGAATCATGTACCGAGTATGCTCCTTAAATATTGATAGTAATTCACCAGTCACCCTGTATATCCTACTTGTTTATTGCTTAAATTATCATATATCCGTAATGAAGTTTCTAAGAATCTGTTGATTTCTTTTAGTTGGAAAATCAAGATTTTATAATAAGAAAAGATTTTCTTAGTTAACTGGGCTCAATCTTGCTCGAAGCTATTTTAACAATCGCCCCAGAATCTATAGACAGAGACATTTAATATAGGGAAGAATCAAATAGCAATCGAATGATGAAGAATTTTGGCATTCATTTTGGAATGAATAGATAACAAGACGGTCCCTAGTGTTTGTGAATGAATATTCTATCTCTATATTGTCTATGGACAATAAATTATTAGTTGGGTCAAAGCCAATTTAATATTTTTTTTAAACAGCTTTTTGTTATTAAAAAATAACATATTGCTGACCTTTATACTTTATTTGAAGTTAGTTTGATTTTCCGCTGCATTATGTAATGTCAAAAAGCTTTTGTACAAAGTACTTAATATTTCAAAGTTCCTTTTGATAGACTCCAGAGTCTTAAAGTTCAGCAAATTTATTATTAATCAAGTGCCTCTTGAGTGATTCTAATAATAATGCTAATAAAATATGCTTTCGATGAAATGTTAAACCTCTTTTGTCTTTTGGGAAATAAGGACGTCTATTTAAAACAACATTGACAATCTCTCAAGATGTACAACGGATTACATTTGAATATATCAACTTAAATTAAAATTCTTAAAACTAAATAAAACTGACGGTATTAAAATTTGGAAAAAAGAGGAGATAAATTAAAATATTTATAACAACACTCAAAAAATACGTTTTTTTACGTCAAAATGACACGTGTCACGCAGTAACAGTTATAAATGTCAAAAAGGTGTAAGCTAGATTTGATTTCTGTATGATTCGCAATCTTGTTCATTCACAAATCCCTCTTTACATATAGTTCAGTATAACGGCATATGACATTGGCGAAATCTATACGAAAACGTCACTAACTAAGACAAAAGGAAGAGAGAGAGCGAGAGAGAGAGATAGAGATTTCTGTATGAAATTGTCTTCTTCTACCTGGCAATTTCCCGGCTATAGCCAGGGTCTGCCTTACATGTTGTGAATAGTTTTGGCTAATCGGATTTAACGACCGGCCGCCTGCCTGACATCAACCCTCTTTTTGGGAATCAGCATAAATCAGTGATGTCTAAATATTCTTAGAAAGTACATATGACTCGGAAAAATCACATTGGTACTTGCCCGGGCCAGGAACGAACCCGCGCTCTCGGCAACGAGAGGCGAGCCCTCTAACCATTAGGCCACGACTGTTATTTAAATTGTATTAAATTTTAAATTAATTGTTAGTTAAATTGTATCATACCAAAATTCTCAACTGACCTGACTGTTGGGGAAGGTTGCGAAGGCGCTCTGTACTTTGTGTAGCGCGTGATCCTGTTGATGGGCGGGCGGAGGTCTTCCTTTGGGGAAGTGGAACCGCGGTATGACCCTAGCTGGTCCTGATGCACGAACGGACCGCTGCAGAGTCGTATGAGGGGGCGCTGACGACGGCTTTTGAGGGGCTGACGCGGCATAACTCTGGAAAAATATTAATATAAAATATTTAATCTATGCTATCTTAAGTACCTATATTTGAATTTAGAACTATACATATAAAAGAAATATTTACATAAAGTTACTTATTAAATGTTTTGGGTTCAATGTCTATAGCTTAGAAGTGTATCCTCAAGTAAAAAAATTCAATTAAGCGATCAAGAATTCTTAAGGCTTCTCTTGATTTTAATTCGTAATCTTATAAAGGAAATCCTTAAAAACGCTTAAACAAGCTCGATAAGAAACGGCGACGTGAATTTTTTATTTCTACATCAAGTATTATATAACGGCTTATTTTGGCTGCAGTGGATAGTTCAAAGTTCAATTTAATATGACATAATCCATTTATGCATCCCAATCAGCGCGCCTGTTAATTTTTAAGGTAAACTGCGCCAGCTAGCAGATGCTGTTCGTTTGCAGTTCCTATGATTACCTTATGTTGATTTAAACTGTGAATTTATATGGTAAATATTATGAAGATAGTTTGAAAACTACGATATACTTTTATGTAAGCAAGATAGTGGCGAATGCTATAATAAAGTTATCACCAAAAAGTTTACACTTCATAAAACGGGACAAAGAAGGTTTTATATCGCTTAAAAAAATGGAGTATCTTGTTTGTTTGTCATGTCAAAGTAACCGTTTTTTTACTAGCTGTGACGACGTCGCGTTCACAGCTAGTAAAAAATATTAAAAATCTATAAAAACAATTTCTTTCATATCCGTTTCTGTTCTCGAAAGAAAAACATTTACAAAACCTCACCTGTCAAGTAAACGTTACGTTTGTTTTGATATTCTTTCGTACTTACAATTTAAGTAACATTTCGTAGCTGTATAACATCGGTGCCTCAAACAATGGCCGCCCGAAATATCGCAGCTCGTTTATCGTATAAATAAAAGCGTGGGCGCGGCTAGATTGGATTTGATGTTAACAAATTGAGACCATCTGATTATGTCAGTGTTACGTATTGTCCGGTTTAGACTTTGACGTTTGCGTACACAGATAATTAAAGGCGTCTTAAAATTAAAGAAAGGAGTTTTTATATGATTAATAATTTAATTAGATAATAATTTCTCAGTGTGTCTGAGACAGAACAGTACTCGAATATATATGTACAATAATTTTAATATGTATAAAACATCGATTCCTTCTATTTCTGGCGGCGGCGGATTCATTTTAAGTGGTTCCCACTCGGAGCTCGCTAGCCTTGTCGGTCTATGACCCTTCCCGCTGTTAATTTCTCTTGGAACTTTATGAAAATTTGTTAACGTTGACACATAAATGGTTTTCTAATTACAGAATATCGAATGTTATATCATTAAAAGTACTATCAAACAGATAATAAATAAAAATTCTAAGTTTAAAGTGATTGCTTTCTATCCTATTTAATATTAAATCTTTCTATTCCATAATGTTTTGAAATTAAAAAACCTCTCACTAAATAGTCAAAGCTTATAACTGAAAGTACATTTGATTTGTTAGTAATATTTTATAAGTGCTTGACAAGTTATAGAATTTTTGTGGTCTTCAACAATTTTATGGCCATAAAATAGGATGCGTTGGCAGGCAGGAGAAATTATATTATTATTTTGGTCATCAAAGAACGATGTGTATGTGGCCACTGGCCGGCGAACACTCGGACATTCGCGACGGTTAAATTCGTCTCGGGACCTATCCTTGGCCTATAACCGTTATACGTCACAAGTCAACGCGTGTTCTATATTTAAAATTGGAGGGAAATAATTAAAAAAATAATAATTATAACCGGCCTGTTAAAAGATGATGTATTTAAACTTTATACTGAGAACGTTTGGCATGGACTAGACGGATCTGTGCCAAAAATATAATAGGTATCATCCCACCATTTGCACCTAGTTTGACGACCCAGATGATAAAGGAATATTTATATTGCAGAGAAAACTCGGATTTATATAAAGTACTGCTTGAAAACTTATAATCTCATTATGTTTTAAGTTTTCGGCACCAAAAAGATTTCACTCAAGTAATTCGCTTATAAAAGTTGAGGAGTACTATTATAGACATTGTTTTAAGAAACTTGATTTTCCTTGAAGTAACACTTAGAACTTAATCCTGATTCTGTCTTAATCCTTATGCCTGTATAAATAACGCGTTTTATAATTGCTGCGTATTTGGATTTTTTATAAGAGTCAGAGTTTTGCATTTTTCTTTAGCCGACTTACAGGGTGACTGGTGAATTACTATCGATATTTGAGGACGTGATATTTGACGATCATATATGACAAAATAAAAATTAATATAACATAAATATTAATAAACTTCTAAGTAAAGTTAACCAAAAGTTATGTTATTAATTACGCATCGTGTGAACACCCTACAGATTAGGTATACACACACACTCACACACGCGCGGCGGGGGCGTGGTTTTGTATCAGCACGCCGCCGCACGCGTCCACACTTGGAACACTTGGAACGTGTACACACTTTATTTATTTATACGGAAATTTGGTCAAAAATTAAGTACCTATTTTTTTTACATAATTCGAATGAGAATCATGTACCGAGTATGCTCCTTAAATATTGATAGTAATTCACCAGTCACCCTGTGTATATGTATATTCAGTTTATTAAAATAATTAATATGACAATAGTTTTATAAAAAGAAATTGTTAATAACAAATAAACTCTTATAAAATTCAGGAAGTACGATTATTGACCTCGCAACAAAGAACTTTTTTATAAATATAAAAAAAAACTAATAAATATTTTTATACTTCGAGTAAAATGTCATTTAATTTTGTTACCTACATAAAGATATGTTTACACATATAATAACTATGAAAGATATTGAATTTAGTCATAATTTTTATAATCATTATTATATATAATTATTTTATAGCACATATATTATTCCTATAATAGTAAGAGAGTTGGATGTGACAGGTTTAATCTGTGCAATAACACTCTATAACAAGATGGCGGTCCATGTGAGGTCGCCACAATAAACAACCCGCCCGCGCTAGTGCACATTATGACCATTTAGTGTCGGATGACGAAACTAACAATACTTTCTAATATTAATTATAAACTAGCTTTTGCCTTTTTAGTTTAGAAAGTCTATTTTTCATAGTAAATTATAGGTCTGCAAAAAGTTTTATTAAGTTTGTATACTTTTCGGATGATGAAGAACGGATTTGTGTGCTATGTGTTTGAGAATTAAAAAAAGTTCAAGTGCAAATTTTTTTTCTAATTTAAAACTAAGTCGTCGAATATCTGTTCATAAGTAAAAACTTACTTTGTTAAAATTGAAAGGTATAATTATAGATTTGCAAGTTGATTCGTACAATTACATTCAATATATACATGACGCTTTGTCTATATTAAAATATTAATTGTTACGCAATTATTATTTTTAACTTTCGACCACCAATAATCACATTAAAAAAACTAAAAACCGGTGTTTCTAATCGGAAAATCTCTCCAGTTAGTGTCAACTATACGAAATGGAGGGAAAGTTGAAAAGCGCGGTGAAAATGTTCGAGCTGTCACTCCGGGGGTCGAGAGTCGCGGCAACAGATTATACACGGCTGATGTGTTATATGAATATGCATTATAATTTGCATAATCTGTTTCACATACTGTGTAAATTCGTGGACATCATTTGCCGAATAAGACTGAAATCATTAATATTGTTAATAAATATTAATTAAGTATCTTTAATTGTATGATAAAATAATTATGAATGAAAATACTTTAAATTGTTAGTTTAATTACAAACGCCTACTAGGACTACTATTTACTTGGTAATTGCTAAGGCAATTTTCATTCCTCCCTTCAGAGTCCCATTAATGAAATTGTAGAAAATTATTTGGCACTAGTTATATAATAAACTCTATTGTACTGAAAATAATGACGGTGACATTTTATTTTTGCTTGTATATATACTATAATCTACTATAAATTTAAAAACTACTACTTATAAAATACTACTTATAAAAACTACTTGTTTGTAATGTTCTATATATTCCTATAAATTACTGTAAGTTATTACAACTACCACCATATTTATTTTACCCCACTTCATAGCGTACTGTAACGCGACATGCGATAGATTGGCTCTATGTACTAAAGGTTCCTTTTGTGAATTCAACTTGGTTGTAAATTCAAAGAGCAATTGCAACACGCGTTTTTTATAAACAGATTACATTGAAAAAGATGGAGACATTCAATTTCATTGTATGTATATTTATTACTGTTCACACAGCTAAATTTTCTAACGATTTCAGAGAACTGGTTGAGAATTCGGTCTCATATAAATAATGTCAACGATATTTCAATCGGTATAAATCTCAATAATTTTCATCTATTTGTTTCATAATCAATACTTTTCACGTTATAAGTGACTCGAAAAATATTAATACTTTTCATTTTGCCGTTTCTAAGATATTTAGATGACAAAGTCAAACAAAAATATATCAAACCTTTTTTCACAGATTGATATTAAAAACTACTAAAGAAAGCCGAATGTTTCATGCATTATTCCGATATTACATTATTTATAATCTGTGAACATAAATCTAGAGTATAAACAAACAAGTAAGGTCGCTAAATGTTTAATCCGTTCCTCGGAATGTTGGTCGTTTAATAATATACGACTACGTGAATATTGCCACTGCACAGCCGCAACTCGGCCGGTTAGCCGGCTTTTGTATTGGAAAAACATTTACACAGAAATTGGATTCAATGTATCACGGTATTGTTACAAAACGTTCCATATTTAAAATTGTTCTATATTTAAAATATTAATATATGCAATTCAAAATATTGTAATGATCATATTATTATACAAATCTGAAGTTTAGATCAATGGAAATTAGGTCGATTTTTGTATGTGATATTCTATATAGTGATATAATTGTGTTTAGTTGTATTTATATATGAATTTGTCATAGAATTTCGACATAAAACAAGTATGTGAGTCATGTCGGTACATTTGAATCCGATCTATAATTATGTTCGTCGGGATAGGCGCGCGGGCATATTAATAGCAACGCGCATGTCTTTGGCGCACGCCTAATTGGGAAGCGGCTATGACCGAGAGACAAAAAACGATGTACTATACATACATACTTATCTATTTATACATTATACCTTTATACATATTTCATATTATTTACGAAGTAACAAGCTTATGAAAAATTATTTTTGTTTTAGTTAGTACTAATACGAACAACCAAAGTACGGACGCCATTATTGTAACCAAGAATATAAAAATTAGATTTGTTTTCAAAATAAATTAATATTATGTCTAAATGATCAATTTATCGCTTGTATTCTTTTTATTAAGACTTAATTTTTTAATATTTTTTATATCGCAACTTTTTCAGTCTCATACTTTTTTTTAAGTCTATGTTGTCCTAAAGTTTATCTAATTTGAGTAATATAATTTTGGAGAGATTTTTTTAAATATACAATATGTTTCTATGTAACAAGAACTTTCCAGACTAAGTCATAACAATACTTCTTAATTGTATAAAAATATCGGAAGTTGGATATAATACTATTCTTTTGTCTCACTTCCTCTCGCTATAGTCATATAAAGCTGTTTCGCTCTGTTAAAGGTACGGGCTTCCGCGTTGTTTTCATTTTCAGCCCAGCTGAGCTGTCCCGACGCGTTGCCATGGCAACCATTGATCGGTCGCCATCTTAAATGCAGCCGTCTGCGACTATTGACAATCAAATGTTTGAAACGAATATGGCGCTCGACGTACTGTGTTTTGAATGGAAATAATTAGTTTTATAACAATTTAATATTTGTCAACTGTACAATTTTTTATTAGATAATTAAGATAAGAGTTGATTAATGATATATACAGTATCTCTCCTGTCTGTAATAATTTAAGACAGCGTACCTAAATTGATTTGAAAATGTATCAGAACGAGCATGATATCAATTCTGTGGAACAATATGTAAATTGGAGCTAACTTTGGGGACTTTGTAATTGATTTTGTCGAGGCTCGGAATGCTGGCGGTTGCTGAAATAATATTTTATTCAGTCAAATCGAATGTGTCCTTCATATTAATTGGTTATTTTAAATAAAATGAAAAGTCAATATTATATATTATTAATCCGTTGAATCCGTTATGGATTTAATTTGCATGTGACAATAAATGGAAGCTATGTCGAAATCTACACTGCGGCAAAACGATAACAGATCAAAATAAGCCCTATTTCATACCTGATAAGGTTTAGTTTGAAACTTTGATTGGCTGTATTTTGAATACTTGAGTGTTTTACTGTTAGAGAAATTGAAATTAAATAATGTACACTCACATCATTGCTTCTTATACGCCATTTTGGTTATTTTTAAATTTTTTCAATATTAGTAAAAGTTCTCACTAATATTGTTAAATGATTCATTTCTCTGTTGAAAATTTTAAGTAAATGCAGTAACAAATTATAATGTCGCAACAATTTGCGGTCGCAGCTAAAGTTAGACTTGTGTTTGAAACAATAGTTTGATATATAAGTTGAATTATTTAAACCCACTGCAACCTTTCAGCTTACGGGTTTAAAATATCAAATTAGTTATTTGTGTTTTGATTAATAATGTCATTTTAAGCTGCTTTGTAGTGTTCAAGATATTTTATAGTAAAAGATTCTATGAAATATATATATTTTTGGTTTATTATTTCTTTTATTCAGCTACTGAAGTGATTGCTATTAAATATACTTGGGGAAGTAACTTTAATAATTTTACTAAAGTGATTTTTTTATTCTACTGAATTATTTTTTTCGTCCATCTATCGTATGTCACATTACAGCCGATTGCGGAGAGGGAATGAATGAAACTCACTGACCAGAGCTGAGCTGGCTTTGTACTTACTCGTAAATTCACAATACAGTAATACATAATAACTCGTAGATTATATTAATTATACATATATTCAGTAATCAATAGCAAAATTTCGAATTAGGTAAGCAATTAAACCGCAATTTCACTTTCTCTAATATTATACATATATATTATTTTTTCTTTATACTACTTCTACTACTACTACTATATTACTATTGTATTTGTTCATACATATATAAAATACCCAAACCATTCATACTTTATTATTTTTCAAGTTATTTGAATACAATTTGCTGTAAGGTCATTGTTCCATTGAAACAGAATTCCATTCATTTTCCGCGGTATAAAATATTTTAATTCCCTGCTCCTCGACTCAATATAACAGACTCATTACAAGTATTTAAAAAGTTAGAACATTTTCTTCACACAACTAAAATAATAATATAGAGGTTTTGGCAGCATCTTTGAATTAAGCCTTAATTTAATTCCAGGGATTATAATGATATTTTTCATATATTTATGGGAACATGTATCAACATAGCAAGGAATTGGAATAGTTTGCCATCATCTGTGTTTCCTTTGAGTTATAAAATGGGTGTTTTTAATAAAAGTATATTTGGGGAAATTAGATTGATACTGAGATTTCAACATTCTAACGGGTGGAATGACATTTAATGTCTACTCGAAATAAAAAAAAGAAAAGCAGATCATTGAATTGTAAACATTAATTTGGATTCTATTATAATGATTTTAATGACTATTATGGTTCAAAACATTTTACTGTTCTCTATATTAGTGTTTGCAATATTTTCTTATTAACCTATCAAGCAGTAAGCTTGATATCCAGTTGGTGCTAAGACGGAATACCATACACCTAAAACCAGTACTAGTGCTATCGTAATCTTAAATTCTTCTTACCACAAGTTTCTAACGTCACACTATATAAGCGTACTTTTGCATTCCCGGCGTCGGGACGTGACGACCCCATCGCCCACCGGTGTATTCCGGTGCAATTAGTCACGGGGGGGAAGGGCCTTGACCTCCTCGTGGGGTCTTGGCCCGGGCTGGGGGTGCAGCCCATGGAGGTGGGTAGAACGAGGCTCGGCGGTGTACACCGCCGCTGCCAAGTTCGGCCCTACGTGTTGGCGGGTGGCCTCGGCCACTGTCGGCGCAGTCCGGCGTCGGGACGTGACGACCCCATCGCCCACTGGTGTATTCCGGTGCAATCAGTCACGGGGGGGAGGGCTGGGGGTACAGCCCTGGGAGTAAGACGGTCACGGATCTGGCAGGAGGCCGTCCGTGTCTGTCTTGGGGGGGAGGGGATACTCGGGTCTCTCCGGAGGCCTGAGTTCGCTTGTGGTCGGTCGGTTTCCTCTCTGTCTGCCGTCGGGCGCTTGCGCTCGTCGGTGGGTGGTTGGAGACTGACCGCGTGGGCTTGGGTGGGAGGGGTAAGGGGTTAACCCTCTCGCGATTAAGCAAGCCCGCCAGGCGGGGGGACACTCCTGGTCACTTGGAGTGAGCCCTCGGGGGGGAGGTGGCCGTTCGCGGCCCGCCGCCGGATCGTCGCGGATGCATGCTTCGGCGTTTCCCGTGGCGATCCACTTGGCGGCAACGGAGAGTGACCGCTGGTGTTTTAGTGGGTAACATGGGCCCTTCTGGCCGTGAATCCCACATAACCGCCTCTGTCTCCCCTAGACGGAGGGGTAGGTATAAAACCTTTCACCGCGATAACAAAAAAAAAAAAAAAACTTTTGCATTAAATAAACTACGTTAATACTGTAAAGTAATGAAAAACGCGTATCTCTGCGTAGAAACTTGTAGTAAACATACTTATCTATGTTTTATACAACGAATGAGATGTGAATAAAAAATTTCAATAATTTAGATTCAAATATTCATGTATATATGACTTTAATTTCAGTTCAAAGGTATAACATATCAAATACAAGTTTAGGACATTACATTCAAGTCATTATTCTTTGATAGTATTGTATAATAAAGGATATTTTCTTTTAGTTTCAAATACAACAGCTTTCACTCGTTTTATTATTCAGACAACGTTGAAAAACTCCGAGATATCTCATGATTTGGAATTCCAAATATTCTTCTTGGATACAGCGAACGATTTGCCTCCAAAATATGTTGAGATTATAGAACAAAAATATATTTTATTATATGATTTCTAACACTAAGATTATCAATTAACATATTATATATAATTTATATATATATATCTCTTTTTCGTACATATGTCTCTTTTTCTTTTGTATGTTGTTTTCCCTTATTTATGCACCTTCTCACAAAGGTTTTGCTTTCCTTACGTAGACTTGAGGACGTCTGAAAACCGTATGACTCATAAGTCGTAACAATACATAATTGTATGCAAAAAAAATGTCTACTCATTTGTGGAAAGTGATGAAACTATTCAATTATTGGTAGAAAGTAAAATTATTTACAAACAGCTTGAGATGTAAAATAAATAGTTTATTGTTCATGTACGGCATAAATATTATTTACTATAATTTTGTATTTACTCTATGGTATACCAAAGGCTTTGTTCTCATTGCCTGTTCTTCAGAACATATTTAACCAAAAAAAACCTCTATATTATTAATATGTTAAATCTGTCCTTAAATATTTCTTTAGCCGTACTCTACCAAATTTTTTCTCATATTCATTATTATTATTACATAATAACCATTAAAAATAGTATAGTAATACTTTTTAATAGAATATTATTAATAAATAATAACATATGTATTATGTCATTTCATAAAACGTCATCATTATCACATCTGTTGATAACGATGTTGCGTATTCATTGATAATAAATAAAAATTAATATTACAATAACCTAATACATATATCTCACCCCATAGACACCGTCGATATCATTTCTAACAAGCATAGGAAAGTTTCACAAACACATACACATTCTTTTAGACGTTTTCACAATCCAAGTCTTTACGGTACAAACATCACGTAGTACGTGATTATACAATTGCAGGTAACTCTTTACTGTGTGATAAAAGGCGTACGACCGATAACGGCAGGTGGGCACTGTCGACGTGTCGTGTTACCAATTTAATGTACGAGTACAGCCTTCATAAAGATAACGCTGCCGAATTTGATATTCTTGTTGTTACAGTGAAAGTTTTTTAATTCGGTCGGGTTATATCTAATTGTCATTGATAGCAATTCTTATACATATATTAAATAATTGTATAATTTCGTATTAAAATTTAATAAAATTGTAGATTTTTTCCAATATCATTCTGTAGGAGTACATACTTAGAACGACGTCACTTCTTTTTTCTTAATTTTACATATCCTTACGCTCAAATCATTCAGCAGGCTCTCATGAGAAAATTAAATAATTGACAATAGTATGGAGAAAAAGTAATTAATACATATTTAACATAAAAAAATACCCTACTGGAATCAATTAAAAATATCTATTTCCAGTATAATTTCCAGTCCTTTTATGTAACAATTATAAAGAAATGTTTTTATTTAAGTATCTCGTAAAAAGCTTATAATCCTTATGTTTTATCAAAAACATCCAGCAGCTTTGTGCCTACATTATTAAGTATCTTAACGGTATAAGGGAAGCGTTATCATTAATTCAAACTTCTAAAGGGGAGTACCGAGTAAGCCTCACTATTAATTTCCAAAACTCACAAAAAACGGCTTCTCAGAGATTAAGGCGAGTTGAGTAAGAAATCTTTCCAACGCCTTTTTATTCTTAAAAGATAAGATCATTAATACAATATTAAGGGCTCTAACTAAAAAGGAAAGTTGCATGTTGAGGTAATAAACAAAAATGCGATCAGTTGCAGGAGCGATAAACCGCATATATGCACCTTAGTTCCTTGCGATTATTAAATACATCGGAACAGCTTTTTAAATTAGAATTTACAAGACATTTTATTTTATTTATAAACGCATATTATAATTACATTAAGTGCGGATTCGTTTTACAAATCTGAAACGTTATAAAACTCCCAAAAGTATAATTTAAAAACAGGTACTTGAACCGTGATATTTTGGGCCACAAACTTTTATTATATGTACGCGACAAACCCTTAGCTGAGGTTTACTTCTCGTTAAATTTATTTTGAGGATTTACTGCCAAATAAACTTTTAACGCAGGCTAAACGTTCGTAATGCTTAAACATTGATGTCGAGTTAACAACGGTTCATTAGGTACTGCGTTGATTCGTAAAGGTCATTTGAAGATCAAATGACATCACGAATTCTAGGATGCACCGGTATGATAATTGGGCCCACCTTTAAGAAGTACATTAATAGTCTCATATTATAACCACACCTTGTATTGTTATGAAGGAATGAATATCATAAAACCTGGAATTACAAAAACATAATTCAATATATCAGCGTCATAATACGTTACTATTGACAGAAATTTATTGCTTTCGGTATTCAATTGTCAATCTGACAAAATTTGACACTGTCATTGACATTTCCATATACAGATTTGATGCGTTAATTTTGTTTTCACTAATTTAAAGCATTTTTTTATAGGAACATCGTTCGATTAATCATAAGATAATTTAGGTATTTATCCAATTGGGCAGCCATTTTAACTGAGCACACAATAATTTGGTTAAGTTTTTAAATGGTAACATTATGCCTCCTGTCAAATTAGTAATTGAATTTTATTAAGAATTTAATCCAAGATAAGGAACAGTATTATTACTATCCAATATTTTTTATAGCTGAGTATTCTGATAAGTAAGCGACGATACAATGGAAATACAATGTACATTATAAATATCGGATATTTTTAAGAACAAAGGAATCCTTTTAGGGTAATTGCTTTTGAGGCCGGACATCAATCATGCCGAACACGAGGATGTCGTTATCTTTCGCCGTACATGTACTGTGTCATGTGTGTCTGTCGGCGTCAACAAAGCTACTAAACTTCCTCTTTCTAGGGAAGCAATAAATCAATAAATGATAAAATCGTCCTACGAATATGGACCATAGAGTAAAAAAACAAATGTTCAAAATATACAAACCTTTACAACAGGTATATAAATTTAAGAAACAAAACACTAAAGTTCAATGACCTTATATTGTTATTCGTTAGCCGAACACCCACAAAGTAGTTTTGGCAATAAGCCTCAAATACTAAGATGGTGCATGAATCACCTCATTATCAACACTTATATGGAAGAAGATTGCTCAATATAGAATAATTTAGCTAATAAAATATAATGCCCAAAAATGAGACAATATTTCCTCTCATTTATACAAATGTTTTTACATAGCTACCGAAACATTGAAGCTGCAACACTTCAGTACAAATGAGATTGATCTTATATTACCTGAAACAAAAACAAAAAATATATATTATTATTACATCATTTTTGCATACAAGTTACGTTCGTTAGACACACAGGCTGGCTTTTGCGATTGACTTTGTTTTTCTTATACTCGAACCCTTTCAAACGCTTAATCACAAAGTACATTAAATCTTCTCAGTTTTATAAATCATTCTACTTATAATAGTAATGCCTAAAAGCCATCGTTACTACTACAAGTTCGTATATAGCCTATCCAAATCGTTGTCATTGTTTTTCTTATACATTTTATTTCATTGGATAAAAATGTACACATAGTCACACACACATTCCCATATTCATATATATAATAGTTAAGATTTATAAGTGAAAGTGAATGCCTTTAATGGCGTTCTTTATTTTGCATGTATTATTTGTAGTAATATTTTATATAGCTGTAGATCTTACTTTAGAGTACTTGAGCCTATTAGAGGAATAAGTCAATGTTAAATAATACATTACAGGTCATGGATAGGAGTTGTAATCAACTATATTTAAAGAAGTGTAACAAAAACTGGTTCACTTTATTCAAAAACCTATTTGATATGCTCTAATCTTTAAACGAATAATTTTATAGTCTCATTTAATACAGAATTATTACATACTCTTTAGAGTACCGTCTACTTACGATCCTATTTAGAGACTTCGTATTTAAAATCTTATAAATGATGATGATGATGATGACATCAAATAACAAATATTTCGTTATCTTTTGCAAAATCGACTAACGTCTACTCGACGTTTGTAATAAATATATTTCAACACGTTACACTTTAATTCTTTTACATGTAATCAATTACATAAATGTTACTTAAATTGATAACTTTATGTATGTTAAAATATGTTATATAATATAAAAATGATCATCAGATAATTGCTTATATAAATGATATTATATGTCACTCGTTTATTTGTTAGAAATGGAGGGTGGACTTAGGAGGGCAGCTGTTAATTTGTTCCTTTTAGCGATTGTATATGTAAGTTTTATTGTATGAGCTTTGTAAATATTTAGGAATAAATGTAATAGAAATTTCATTGTCTTTACAGGTTTCGAATATAACCTGTCAAAATGTGCAGCTCGAGGCAGAATCAAGAGGAAGCCAGCTAGCTCAAAATATAGATTTAAGTCGTGACCAATCTCCCAAAGCGCAATTAATGAACACTCTTATATCTATAGCCAATGGGAAGAAAGAAAGGACGCCAGCATCACAAATGAATACGATTCAGGACACTCAACCAGCGGCTGTAATGCCAAATCAAAGATCCAATACATTAAACGTCATGTCTGTTTCACCTCCAACGAGTACAGTGCCAAAAGAAACTATCGCTGTTAATCCAATGTTAACAACAACTTCGCTGCCTCAACCGGTCATTTCTAATTCCATGATGATGCCAGCATCTTTTCCATCTTCTTATCCTTCGCCATATATTAAATCCTACCAACCAGTTGTATTGCCATTGCCCACATCATATAGCGCAAGACCTCCACAAGTTATCCCTTTGGAAAACTATGCTAATATGGTACAGTCATATCCAGCGAGTTATCAGATTCAACAACCTGCAAGCGTTCCGTCCGTCGTTTATGCAGAACCGATTAGTCCTATGAATCTTGAAATAAATCCATCTGGTTCATTAAAAGTTTTACCAACAATAAATACCGATCCTAGTAATTATGATATCATCAGTGGGTCTTATAATACACAGAACCCGGAGCCAGTGGTTATGATGAGTGATCGTGAGGGTCTTCCCTTTAACGTACAAATTAATGTGCCCCCTCAGAACACAGCAACTCCACGAATAACGCTTATTTCTGCAGCTCCAACAAATCCACCCTCAAATCCTAATCCCGTTTCTTCAAATACATACCCGCCTCCAATGCCAATAATTATGAGAAACTCTCGCTCTAGTTGGAAGAACATTCTGCCTATAATACTGATAGCGTTATTCAACGATCGGGATGGTAACAGTAATTGCTGCTGTCCCTGTAACTGCGGCTGTAACTCTGACAGCCCTACTCCTATCCCATACCCTATACCGATACCGGTAAATAGCCCTATAATAAACAATAGTGGATCATCTCAGAGCCGTTCTCGCAGACGAGGTGACGGTCAGAATGAAGATTACGACGATGAAAACTGAAAAAACTTTATAAACTTAATTTAGATATATTTATAATTTAAAATGAAATATAGACTGTAATTTATTTATTAAATAATAAACGATATCACGAATACAATTATACGTATGTTATTTTCTTTAACTAAATGTACTTCGTCACATAATATGTCCATTATCACAGAATCCATCGTTTAATTAAGAATGACACGTGCTTATCAGCGGCTTCATGTTCTGATCATAAGATACTTGAGATCAGATAAGCCTGATGTAACGAGACCAATATAACTCGTCTCAAACGTTTTTATTAAACAGAATCATTAAGGAAGGTTTCTTAACAACCTTCGAAATATCAGCCTACAGTGATGAAAGCATTTTCAAGGCTCTGCTTCTTTCTATTATTTCTTTTGTTCTGCCAGGTGAGCTACACCGAAATCTTTATATGAAAACAATGTTGGATAGTGTTTAGAAACAACATATTTTAATGAAGCACAGTTCTAATTTCATAGTATTTGTACCTATTAAAATTAGTCTAAATTTCAGGAGGAAGTTTCAAGCCAAGTGCTGTATCCGGGTTATGGCGGCGTGCCAGTGGCGTACGATAACAATGATGACGACGACCTCGGCCTGCTTTTGACAGTGCTGCTTCTGGCTACCAGGAACAAGAACAACGATAACTGCAACTGCTGCAGCTGCTGTAACTGCGGCAGTTCCAAGAGTATACCAGTGCCGTATCCAATACCATTCCCAACCAACAATCCCGTCATCAACAATCAAGCATACAGAGACAGTTATGATGATTACGGCGACGAAGTTCAGTCGACTAAATCTAATAGTACAGAGAAAAATACAACACGAACCGATACAACATACACGTATACTCCTGTAGCTGTACCTATAAAAGATGACGATCAATAAAGCAATAAATTTAGTTATATATCATACTTATTTTTTTTCTCCTGACATAATTACGAAATGCGTACTGTCAAAACATTATAAGTTTTTATGTTGAACTCACACCCCTTAGTTTAGAATTCCGATTATTTATACATCCATACGAATAATAATGAATGAAAAGCATACAATCGGTTTTTAATAACGCTTAGTAAGCTAAAGTTTTTGATAGAAATACTTTGAAATGCAAACTTCAATGAATAATGTAGTTTAAGGAAATAAGAAGTCTTTTACAGGCAAACTCATAAATCGTTCTCTATGACGCTCACGTCATCACAATGGGATATCACAATACAACGCCATTTTGTTTTATACGTACATTAAACAACACTGTTTATTGTAAAATGATCTCATACAAAATGTTCAGAACGTATTAATTAAATGTTTAAAGTGACCTAAGGAAGAAAGGTCTATCAAACAATTAATTACTTGGACACAATTATGCTTAATACAACGCCAGTTTAGAATTTATAATACAATCGATTTTGTATTAAATTTTCGTTGACGTTTTGTTTAGGTACAAATCAAATAGTTTTAAGATGAGTTAGATTTAATGAATATTTTACTGTGACGTCAAACGAACGCCGTGAGACGCGATCGCTATAAAATTAAATATCTCATACAGTTATTAGGATAACAATGTAATCCTTTGACGTCTTACAGGGTATGAAATAAAGAATATTAGTTTATGTACTGTGCGAAGGTCTTGAAATTAACCGGTAATATTGTGACCAAAAAATGCTCATGTGCTGTCTGTATTTTCAACAGTCTGTAGGTTCTTTTACGATTCTGTTACGATAGATGAAGGATGAAATATTCAAGTTGATAAATAGATAAATGTGTACTTTTTCTTTACAATAGATATACAAAAAGAGTTTCTATACATATTAACAATAAATAAACCTTAGTTTTTCGTTATCGCTTAATTAAAAGAAGGCGTATAATTTTTTTATCATAACGAAACCGGATTTAACAAATATTATTCTTCTTCATACCAAAACAATACATTTAAATGCGTGTAATGTCATTGACTTTGAATACGAGGAGATCCGGTGTTTTATTTTTACTTAAACGAATCAAAAATATTTCTTATTCAAAGAAACAAGTGTTTTTGTAAGCAATTTTTTACTTTTTAAATAGCCTTTTAAGTATGACCAGCTGAACCCAATTGTATTATTTTTATTAAAGACTCTGAATTACACATTACAATTATACTAAAATATTGAATAGCATAAAAGGAAGAACATAGATTGCAAAGTCTCATTACTTCTTTGTCAGCTCATAGAATTCTAATATTGTTATGGAAAACACAATAAAAACAGTTCGTTTTCAATATCAACCTGTTGTATAGGGTAACAATTATATTGTGCTTTGTATTTACCGAAGAATTAACATGCATAAACAGTATCTTGAAAATTACAAACGTATTTATTCTTCGAAACATATTGTCGTTTTAAATGTCAACCCTGGTACTAATTTATGTTTTAGCTGGGAACAATGAATGCATTCATATTCTAATGTCAATTTAAATTCGGCTTGAAATACAATGCATCACATTTTGCAGTCATTAATGCAGGTTATGCATTGCATATTTCTTTTTATTGAAAGAATGACTCTAATTTTGTGTATTTTATTTTAACATGTATTAAAATTCAATAAAAATAAACATTATAATAAAAATAAGCAGTGATTGCAAATGAAATGAAAAGATAACGCGATAAGCAAAAAGATAAGATAATCACAGCAAGATAAGAATACTTCTTAATTTCCACACATCTCGTAGAACAAAAGATATAATTGAAAGAAAAACGTAATCAGTTACTTTTAATATCTCAAGATGGCTGTAGCCATAATATTGACGATAGCTGCTTTTACGATACCATTTCAAGTAATTTTCCTTTTATTATATTGTTAAAATATTTCGTTTTAAATTTAAATTGTGACTATACCTTCTGTTTTATTTTAGGAAATCCGCGGACAACCAAATTTAGGCAATGGAGGGAGCAACCAAAATAACATGAATCAAGGATTTCAAACTAATTCACCAAAATCTGCTGTCGACTTAACACAGAATTCGGGAAATTTGGCAACGAACATTAATTCACAATTACAAACCAATTTACCGCAGGCGCTGTCATCTCTGACGATGCCACCATTGTTTTCGTTGCAGCCACAACAAAGTATGCAACCGCTACTGAATCAGCCACAAGTTACATTTCAACAGCCCTATCAACAACTGAACTCTGGCCAATCGTTTCTTCAGCAATCATTGTTGCCATCGTCCTCTGTGATCCAACAAAATCCTAGTCAGCAAGCTAATGGTTTTGTACCAGCCTTCAATCACTTCAGCTATTCACAGCAATTGCCTATATCTGGCCACTTAGTGAACGTACCATCTCTTAGTATTTCAAATCCTGCATCTATTGTATCTGCGTATACGGCGATGCCAAACTGTGGATGTACCCAAACCGGTTTTATGCCAAACACTGCTAATACTTATTTAAGTCAAGTATCTAGTATTCCCATGACGGAGCGAGCTCAAGTTATTACATCTTATTCTACATTACCCTATACTTCAGTTCTATCACCCAATCCATCAACGTTTACAAACAGTGCAATTTTGCCGTATCAAAATCAAATTATAGGACTTTTAAATAATCCGCTGATTGAAGATAAATTAGCGATTGATGAAAACGAACTCCAAGATCCTGAGAATATTAACGACCTACTGTTATCTTTACTTCAAACGCCCAAACATCCCTCTAGAGTGCTCCCGTTTCCATACAATTCACTGCAAGGACAAAAAGGAACGAAATCCTCACAATTGAAATCTTTATTGCCAGTTATATTTAACTTGCTAAAAGAGAAAAAAGAAAGGTGCAATTGTGACAATCCCTGCAAATGTAGACGTAGGACCAGGAAGGGGAGCGAGCCACAGATAAGTAGCGGATATTCTAAGAAAAAGGAATACGGCAGCGTAAGAGAGGGAATATTCAAAAATAACTCAGAGGAAAACCAGAGAAAAGTAAATGATTACAAAAGATTTAATAAATTTAGAAAGACCATAGACGAAAGCAACGAAAGTTCCGAGTACGAGGATTTTTTCGAGGATGATAATTGAATATAAAATGTTTTAAATTTAAGTTTATTTATTCAAATAATCGTAACAAATTAAAGATATTTTCTAATTTTTAATATTCTTTCATTGAAATCTCCCAAACAAGTATCATGTATTCAAACAAAGGTGTCTTAGCTTGTTAAGAACCATGGTTAAACGTGTTGATTATAACAAAACAGGCAATTGTTTTATGCTGAAAATGAGTCACTCATTGTCGCTAGACACCTGTATATTAATGACATTTAAACATAATCACGAAAGAATTATAGATAAAAGGCTGGTATAAAATAAGGTCCTGTTTAGTAATTGATAGAAGAGCAAAAATGAGTCCGGCAACGTGGATTGCTTCATTCATCCTTTTGGTCGTTTTGAACGTAAGATTATTATTTTATATCATAAAAAGAAATATATAAATGCTTGTCATATACATTTATATTTACATTTTCATTTATTTATTTGCAATTCTATTTCATGGCCCTACAACGTAATTTTCTAATCCGACTCGAGTTTCGGAGGGACGAATTTATTTCAGTCTAGCATCAAATGTTGTTATTCCAACCGATAGCGTGGGGCCATCTCGGTTATATTTTGCATTTAATATACGTTATTGAATAAGAAAATATTTCACCAATCATAATTTTTTTTTGGTTGATATTTTCTTCTAAGTGACAATAAAACTAATGTCTATATGTTGTGCTGTATATACTTTAATATATATAACGTGTAATATAGGCTTTAAAAAAGGAAGTCAAGGATTTATTCAAAATGGATCACGGCTGCATTATAGTGTAGCATCCATACAACTGTAATTCAATTACGAATCACTTGTATTTTTTTTTTAATTTAAACGATATTTCTATGTTAAGAGGGATAAATGGAACCTTATACTATTGATAGTAAAGATATTCAAGAGTATATGAACTTATTCAGTTTTTTATTTTAAGAATAAATAAGACCATCGATGTTTTCTGTAAAGTTCACAGAAGCCCGTGTGTGTAGCTATGGTGGTGGATACTCCGATGCTTTGGGTCCTATGAGCGCAGCCATGGGACAGCCGTTTCCCCCCATGGGTCCGATGGGTCCTACAGGTCCTATGGGTCCCATGGGTCTTATGGGTCCGATGGGTCCTCCCATGGTCCCAGGACCTCCCATGTTCATACCTTACGGGGATGACGACGACATCGAGGAAATCTTGCCCTGGCTGATTCTTATAATGTCTGGGAGAGGATTTTAAATTCATTTCTATTGTATTTTTATTTATATTATTTTATGTTTATGGATTTTTTACTGGTATTCTATTTATAATATGTTGGATCATGATGAATTTTAATTTTATATTTTGATAATAAAGATTATTTTGTATTTAAATAGAATTACAAATAAAATTATGATCACAAAATGTTTTTTTTTGCTTCATTTAAAAGGTTTCAAAATTTAGAAAAAGATATAGAAATAATGTAGGTATACATAAACTGCAAAGATAATTATAAATCTCGTACTTTTAAATGTTGGTGACGAAGTAAAACATAATTATTTTAAAATATTTCGTCACATTTTGCCTACAACTTATCAATTTATTATGTAATTTTAACATAAAAATTACATTATAGATATATTATTTATGAAACGATGTATTCTTTCCAAATCAGTTATTTAAAATAATAATATAAAGATCCGTAACTAAAGTATTCAAATTACAAATATGTCGACTCTAGCGTGGTTGGCCTGCCTGTTTTTCTTCACATCAGTTAATGTAAGAAAAATATTGTTTTAAATCTATTTTTTTGGGTCTCTGAATGATATAAATATTGATAAGTTGTCAGTAAAATGTTTTTGTACTACATAATGTCATATTTCTCTCATTACGTTGGGAATTATGAAGATATTTTTAAGATTTAAAAGTGTTGTGTAGTTTATATCGCAATTTTATGTTACAGTTTTCTTTCAACTTACTATTAGTTTGACCTTCCCCTTATTTAGTTCCTCAGATGTATAAAAAAATGAATTCTTTTATGAAGTCATTACGAATGTGATATACCTAATTGTGTTTAAAAATATTGTGTTTTGTGGGGCGGGGTATTAGTTAAGGTTAAGTTCTAAATAGCATTAAAATATTATTTTTATTTTCATAATTGTAATGTTTTCATGTATAAATAAACGGCTGTCATACAATATACTGATCTATTATAAAGTTAAGCTGAAAGACTATTGTAGTAAGAAAAATTCTAAATTGGTTTAAATATGAAATATTGTAACATTCTAGGTAATTCAGATCCAATGTCAATTTATGCCCGGTCACGGATATGGGATGCCTTATCCGGTTATGATGGGAGGTTATGACGACGATGATGATTTGAAATTAATTCTACCGATTCTGCTTCTCATGATGGCCGACGGAGGTTTCGGTGGATATGGCGGATATGGAGGCTACGGCGGATGTGGCGGATGCGGATGCTCAGGCTGCGGGGGAGGCGGATGTTGCAATAACAACGCCGGCTCGAATACTATTCCCATACCATACCCCATACCCATCCCTATGAATTGCCCCACTCTGAACTAATGACGCACAAAATCGTCACTTTCTTTCGTTATCTACAATAACTTCGACATTTTATTCGTTATAATAAATGATTTATTGTTTTATATAAAACTGGTATACTAATAACTCGATTGTTGGAAGAAATATATTTATTATAAAAACAATGCATCTTTTACTCCACGCCTTATAACACTTACTGTACCATGTCTCATTCATATTAAACGTGATGATATTCTTTAATACAAAAATACAGTTACGACACTCTCAGTTGCCTAATTTATTAACCTATTTCTTTTGAAATATTTTGTGTATAAAAGAAGTGTGTTAATAATGTTAACGCAATTGCATCAATATGGGGACCCCAAGCATTTTAGCGTTCATACTCTTTGCTACGGTAAGCCTTAAAATGTTTAATGTGCCATGGAATTGTGACAATTTAGTTATATAATATTTTGAATGTTTCCAGGCATGCTATGTTTCTGCCCAATTCAACGGTCGTGTAGAGTTTGTTTCTCCGCCGGCCACGGTATCAGCCACCTCTTACATCCAGCCGACTAATCAATTTGTGATTCCAGCGATCATAAAACCTATTATTCCTGAAACCTTTTCCCAACCGCCTTCAATACCCAACTACCCAGAATTTGAAAGTTTCAATTCACCGTACATGCAGCCAAATATGCAAATGCCGATGCCGATGCATATGCCTATGCCCATGCCGATTTTCATGGGATCAAGAGATGATGATGACTGGCATCATCTGCTTTATTTCCTCGTATTCGCTAACTTGAGGAACAGATGGAATAATGGTTATGGATATAATTATGGCAATGGTTGCGGGTGTGGATGTGGATGTGGTGGCAATGGTTGTGGAAACAGTGGTTGTGGTTGTGGAAACAGTGGTTGTGACGATGGCTGTGGATATAATAGTTACAACGACATTGGAAACTGTGGTTGCAATAACAATGGCGTGGTATACATCCCGTACCCAATACCAGTTCCATCGAATGTCCCTTCGTGTTATCCTAGTTTGTTCAGCGGTACTGTGGATTCCCCTCCATTCTCCTCTGACGATTTATCCTATGGACCAACGTTACAAGCCTGCGCCGGACGAGAACCAAACGAGATCAATCTAGTCATAAGAACCGACTGTAGTAAATAAATAAGACTTTACAAAATATAGACTTTGTTTTAATAACCATATTTTCCTATTATTCTTTTATGCCAATATATAAAATTATAGAATAGCAATACTTTTAGTCCTTTATTCTTGTTCATAAAATGTATTTATTGGTTTTCGGGGACTATTATTATCAATCATTGTGGTCCACATGAAATATGTTTCAAAATTAAATAAAATTATTACATCTAGCCTGTAAATTATTTCGAAATATTTAAAAATTAACACAATTATATAAAGTACTGTAATAAAAGGCAACATTTTTTTAAAAACCTACAATTTATTGAAAGTGGTCACGGAAGAAGGGACATGGATACAACAGCAGCAGTTTTCTATTTGATATTAAATTTTCTAACGGTATATTAATAAATTGACTTATAACAAAAGTTAAAATATTCTATATTTGTTTATAATAATGAATTCGTTTTGTTTATGCAACCATTTACAGATTCAATGCGTGAATAGTCAGTGTTGGGGTGGCTATAGTTCGAGTTTCAATCCTTATTCATACAACTATGGTTACGGACAACCATATTATCCCCAAATGGGTTACCAGTTTGGATATCAACCAGAGGAATATTATCAAACTTACTACAAAGGTGAAGAACCAACCGTGATAGTGATAAATGGTGAACGTGGTGATGATGGTTTTGAATGGATGGACATTTTATCATTCATATCATCATTGCGTGATAACTCTGGAGGACCTGTTTACATACCCTACCCTGTACCCATGGGTAATAGCGATTGTGGTTGCTCAGATTGCGGCTCTAGAAGCAATGGTTGCGATCGCTGTAATAAATGTCAAAATTGCAACGACTGTAATTGCAACTGCTGCAAAAAACAAGAATCAAGTTGCGGATGCAATTCAGGCAATTGTCAGAGTTGTGGTTGCAATAAATCTATAAAACATAAAAATAATTGCTGTTGCAGATCTTAATAAATTTACTTCTTGTCATTTTCTGAAAATTTCTTGAAAATAAAATTGTTTTTTATAAAAAAAAAGTTGTTTGGAATATAATATCACTTATTACTCAACGCTGTTTTTTATTATATTCTCTGTGATGCAAACAACAACAACTAATGCGCAGGAAAATTATAAATTATATTTGACAACCAAATTGTATTTTATCGTTTTTCTTTAACCACAAATTAAGATAAAGGTTTCCTACTTGTTACAGTTTTTCTTCTTTAAATTATACCTTAATAACGAAGTATGTAAGAAAGTATGAAAGTCAGTTGCTACTTTGAGCAAAATTTTATTTTATACTCTCTGAAGACACTGCAACGCTAGCATAGTTTTTGATATTGAAAAGGCATTGATAAGTATAATACTATATAAAAATATGCTAAAATCTTTATGATTCTAAGGTAATGATAGCCTGAACTAGTAAAAGCTGAATGTTGAAGGGAGAATAGAATTCATCTCATAAATCTACGTCACTTTCCTGTCCTCGTAAATATCTGATGAAGAACATTCTGAAGCGTACAAAATTGCGACACAGATTGCAGATGCTACTTTTGACGGCTTTATAATAGCAACATTACATAACTTTTACGTTAAACTCAAACAGGCTCGTTTATATTCGTTTACCTGTGAGTTACCGTGAAAGTGAGAGTTTCTTAGTTGGAAAACCGTATAACGACTTTGGTTTTTAAAATGTTTGAAAGCGATTTGAGTTCATGTGTTAAAATACTAACCTCAGCCATTTTTAATGTATAATCTTTGATTGTTTATGATCGCTGCTATTAACTTTTAGGTACCTATTAGCAATGCCAATCGTTTTTGAAGTTAAAATTAAAGAATTTTGTGTTTCTATATAAATTTATAGTTCATATATATTGCCGGATCAAGACATAACAATTACCTATGACTATTAACAGAAAGACCAATGGTATCTCAAATCCATTCAGTTATAACCGAATTAATGAATTATCTTCAGAAAAACAATTGAATTATAACTTTCTATAAGTTTTCTTATAAATTACTTGTATGATACATATAACACAAAAATGTATTAAAAAAACTTATATTTGTAAATCTAGGTACGTACAATGTACATAATACAGCTATATCGTCGTATATCCGTTTTACTACTCCAAGGTCAAATACCTACGTGCCCATATTGACACATTTACCTAATTACGAAACTATCCACCATCTTAATGGAAATTCTGAAAAGCGATACAACATATATTTACTCTTATAAAAGCTAAAAGAATTAAAGTTGTTTAGAAACAATCAAAATGGCTTCCTCGAAGGTTGTTTGTTTGGTCGCCTTACTTCTCATCCTTAAGGTATGAATAGTTAATTTACTTATATCTCTTTGTAACATAAATAATGAATTTAATATTATTATAGTTTAAGCTAACTATTCCTATAGTTATAATATTTAATACTTTCGCGTGTACATATTAAAACAAGACTATAACTTTCAAATTTACTTCTAGATTTTATTGTATTACATTTTATCTTTTGTAATGTCTATTTGGAGTAACATAAAGCCATGTTCAAATTGAACCATGAGGGGTTAATTTATTGATTGATTGGTATAATTGTTTTATAATATTTTTCATTGCAGCTTCATTTAGCCCATTGCTACTTCGGTCCATTCGGCTATGGTGGCTTCGGGTTCCCGGGGCCGATGGGTTATGATGATGATGATGACATGGAGATTCTTTTACCCATTCTGTTGTTAGCCATGAGCGGGAGAGGCGACTTGGGATTCGGAGGTTTTGGAGGTCCGATCCCTTACGGTCCAGGCTTTGGAGGTTGCGGGGGCGGATGTGGATGTGGTTGTGGAAGATGTTGATTTAGATAACGGCTTGAGATCCAATAAAGTGTTTTGCTAATTATTTAATTTTTTTTAACCCTAAATAGATCAGATCGTAACAGAATTTGTACGTCTAGTGTCGGATAAAAGAAGTATGTAGTACAAATCTGGTGGAATTAAATTTAAGTGTAGTTTGTTTACTAGGTACTAAGATACTAATTTCTTAAAGATTCCGACACAACAAATGAAAGAAAAATTTAAATATGTATATAAAAAAAACATTAATAAAAGGGAATATAAAAAAAGGCTAGTCTTTTATCCAGAACAACTTTTCAGTTCTAATATTTCGAACTATTTAACGGCGATAACATCACAGACATGCCAAAAATAGGATAATAATAATATCTGAGATATTAATAGATTTGTAATTCTGTAAAATATTTAACCCTAAGATAACAGCAATCATTTATAAAGTAAAAATTTACAGTCAAAATATTTAATTTGTAAGCCTACATTATTATTTCCCAAACTTACGATAAGATAAAAAACTGTCATATACTTACTATTCATTTTGTACTTAATAACGATGATATAAATTATTATATATAACTTATTTTGTAATGTTAAAGTTTTGTAACAAGGCAAGTGTATATACTAATAAAATGTAATGGAAAATTACATTTATGTGACCACAGCTAAATCAAAAGGACCTTAAAAAGGTCAGGCCAAATGAGTGTAATTTAACATATAATAAATAATACACAAAATGAAGTCAAATATTTTGTTGATATTTATTATAATAAAGGTGAGTATGGTATAGAAACATTGAGTTATAAATATATTGTGTGTGGATATATCTTATTTATTGTTTTATTATAGGTTATCGAGTGTGTTAAACCGCTTCCAAAACGAACTCCCAAAAGAAGTTTATCTTCCAATTATGATGGAACTTCAATCTTTCAACCAGATAAGAATTCATTCCCAGATGTCATTTATCCAACGAGCATTCTAGATGTCACTAAGCCTTTTTATTACAATATTGGTAATGACTTCGAAATAACAGAACCGTTCTCCGAGGATGTCAAATCATCGTACAAAAAACTTAATTCACTTCCAAAATCAGGTAATAGTTATAGCAAAACATCCAGTATAGAAAACAAAATAATGATAAATGATTTTGCTTCGAATATTAATAAAAATGACGTAAGTGATACAGAAAGAAATGGTACTGAGAAGAATGTTGATTATATGAATGATCAGAATGAAAATCGTTCATTTATTTTGGAAGAAACAAATGAAAGTGATAATAATACTGATACTAATATTAATTATGATTTATCAAATGAAAATCATGATGTTTCATCATCCGAAGACACCAATGTTACGAATATTCCAATTTATGTTCAAATTAACGTACAAGTGTTCAAAGAGCAACCGATTATGACTACAAACGGAGATATTGAAAATAAACCAAGTCTTGAAAATATATCTGATCAAGTAAATGCAACAATTGGTTCAATAAATTTTTCGGAATCTCATGAGTCAAGCGAAGAAACTAACAGTACTTCTGGTGAAATTTACACAGAATCGCAAAATCTTAATGATTCCGACATTGTTGATGTCTTGTCACCTTTGACTGTAGATTTTTTGGAAAGCGAGGACAATGTCACTGAAGTTTCAAATATAACGTTCTTTGAAAATACACCATTAGAAGAAATCGATGTATTTGATAATAGTTCTATACCAATATATTTAATAGAAAGTGATTTGGTTCTAATTGATGAAAACTCAACTTTAAATGCTACTGAGGCAGATTTTTTATTAATATATCAGAATGATAACGAAACGATACTAAATAATGATGACTATTTTCTAGATTTTGTGATTTCTCTTGACTCAATTTGTGATAATAATAACATAGCAATATCTACGTATGGTGAAAATTCAACAGATTTTATACAAGAGAACTGTGACATAAAATGATTATACTTACGCAAGTTACTTATATAATTTTTAATTTATATTCATTCATATTTAATGTCCCAAGTCTTACAAAGCTCTTTTATAAACTTTAAGGAAAACAAAAGCTTAGTTACTTTGAAATTGCTTAAGAAACAAATACTTGAGCAAACTTTCTATTTTGCAGATTTTACGAAAATTATAATGAATAATATGAGACAGCATTAAATGTTTTTTAATTAGATAAATTATATTGTTTTATTTATCCATATGTAATATTTACACATAATTTTTTTTGAGATGAAACAAAATATTGAAACAACCTCCCACTATACATGTTTAGATACAATCATATATTTCAAAACATTATTACTAGTTAACGTTGTAAAGATTTTTATTACACATTAATTACGTAAATTATACACAGATAGATTTTGATAAGAATATTATGAGAACCTTAAATTTCCACGTTTCCTTCTACAATGTTTTATCTACTGTGGTGTACACACGGTGATATGGGATTCTCGGAAAATATTGTTATTTTATTAATTGCGCTATGCTTTAAGGTAAGAGACAAACAATATATTTATTTTTGATTTTATGTTGAAACGAAATTTTAATAGAAAATGTTCTTTATTCCAGCTACCACAGACGTATACAAAACCGAGATCTCTGACTAACAATGGAAAAGTAAATGTCTGTCACACACCAAAAACTTATTATACCGAGACAGATTTGAAACAATCTGATAAAAAGTCAATTTCCAATAACGAATTGTTACGAAAGACGTTCCATTTCCGTGACATTGAATACCCTGTGGCGACAACACCTCGACCACAATTTTACTTTCATGAATATAATGACAATCAACAGTGGCGAAGAAATTTCACGCGGAATAGAAGTTCGTTAACAAGAAATAGTAATTCACAATCCATCAAAAATGGTGCTGGGACTACAAACTACGAAGCAAATGGAAATAAAATACAACGATCTATAGCTCCCAAAGAAGTATCTAATCACGATTTTCTAAAAGCAGCAAATTTCCCAGAAATAGAATATCCCCTTAGCGCTAAAGAAACATGGAGACCAAATTACTGGCAGATTGATATGAACACGAATACTTTGAACAAAATGCGTCACGATCAGGAGAACAAGTTTACGAGAACAGGAGCTCATTTCAATGGACATACTTCGTTTCCCACAAGGTCATACAGCGACCCTGTCAAGAATCAACAGCTATTAAAACAGGTTAAAGAACACAAAGCCCATGAAAACAACACCAAAACAGGCAACTCTCGACATTATGGAGACATTAATATTAAGAGAGACGAAGACAATTTACATAATATTACAACTGATATTGGACCAACTTATACAACACCAATTCCGTATTATTTCACGCCTCTTGACTGTGAGGATTATATCAATACTGCTATTTCCTCTGTCCAAGAGAACAATGATCAGATAAGTACATATTTGTCCACCGTTTATAATCAATCTTTGAACAATGACTTCACTCCAACAAAAACTGACAACCAATACAATATAGATGCCCACAATTTCCAAATAAATAACCATGAGCAGTCTGACTATAATGATAGAAGGGAACCAGAAAAAGATACATTTGTTTTAGAAGATGACTATACCACAGATGCAGATTTAGAAGATGGATCACTGATTTATAGTCTCGCAAGTACAGCATCACCATATTTAGGTGTAATCGATTCAACGTGGAAGAATTACGAAACTATTGAACCAGATAAATGTTATATAGACGACCTGAGCGAATATTTTATATCTGTATAAATAAATATTATCTTTGTAAAAGATTTATGACATCACAAATACATTAAAAACTACTGTAATATGTCTTTTCATTATAAAGTATTGTTAGTAGTTTACTATTATTTGCATTTAAAGTAACTTCATATTTTATTTCAACCGTTTTCGATCCTTGTTACGTATTGGGAACAAACACATAAGGTTTCCTTATAATCTTGTCTCGTCCTATTTACTTTTCAAAAATAATGCCGTTAATAGCCACAAGATTCATTCATTAACTTATTAACAAACGAAAGGGAAAAAGATATCATTAAAAGTAAATGTTATGGGTCACGTAAAATAATTTATTGATAAAAATTATATTTATAACTTTATAGTGTTTTTATGAATCGGAAAGTTAAAAAAACGAGTATTAATATTATGTATCATAAATGTCAACGAATGGAATGACACTACGCAAAATATTATGAAAGTACAATTACAATCAAAATTCTCATCTTACAATATTATTAAAACGCATCACTTTATCTTGGCATCTAGAATAAAAAATGAAAATAACAAAATATATTACTCAACTTCCTAATAAATTACTAACGATTTATAATTATTCGAAATTTCATTTACATAATGTTTTTGTGTATTATAATACATACATAATTACTAAATATTACATTTGAGCATTCTAATAAATTAATTCGTAGTAGAGAAGATTAATTTCTCAATCTTATTTGAATGGACGTGAATGTACAACAGATAACAATAAAAAAATCGTGAAATGCCACTGATTACACAGATGAAATCGCAAGTAACAGATTATAAATAAATCTCTTAATCATTAACACTTTTAACGGCGACTGTTCAATAAGAAACCGGTTACTGTGGAACTGAGAGGCGACCTTGCGAACACGGCTTACATCATGCTGACATGCGCAGGCGCAACGTCAGGCTTCACGGCCCATAGACAACTATTATTGTACAACACATAGACTACACACACACATACGTAGAGTGAATGTAAAACATTGTAGTAATTAGTTTACGTTTGAGCATTTATTACTGTGAGAGTAACTTTCACTTTCTGTGATATACTTGTGTGGTATAATGACATTCGAATGATATTCATCTTAATTATGTGAAGGGACGCTCGCATAAAGACGTAAATGCAAAATAGACACTCTTTAGAGATTTCGTGGCGCCATTTTATGAAAACGTTGATTACATAATTTGAGTTTTTATTAAGCAATATTGTCATAAAATAGCACTTTGAGGGACTTGATGAACATCTTAGTTTGTTATAATTATAATCTTTAAAGGAATTAGTTACATATTATTAATAACACAAATGTAATAAAGAGTTAAAACTACCATTCAAAACATTTTGACGTATAATATAATGACCGGTTGAGGTGCGTTGCGCTGGCGCGGCCACCGTCACGCGATATGCGCATCGATGTGCGTCGAACAAGCAGTGACATTGAAATTATACATTAAAGGAAATATGTACTGTAAGAAATAAAATGAATACAATATATTTACGTAATGCCCGTATTTAAGCACTAGTTAAAACAAATAATTTTTAAATGTAAATATTTTAAACGAATAAATCTCAATCATATAACACTGAATAAATTCATTTACTAAACCTATAATTAGTAATTACTGCAATGCCGCGTTTTATTTTCTGACGTTTCAATTAATTAAATCCATTAACTGGTTCTATTCAATCAATAATTTTCCTTTCTAACTATCGATATCTTATTATCTGATTGTATAAAACATTGATTATACGATGACGAGATAACGTTCGTTTCAAACTATTTAATAAAATATTACATACGATTAAATGAAGGATAAATTAATATACCTAATTTAATATTTAATTAATATTTATACAAATATATTTCTCGATAATTTATGTACAGTTTATGTCATCGCTTCCTTGACAGATGACAAAAGACAAAAAATAAAAATAATATTGCCAGTAACATGACAGTGGCCTTGCAATTATATGTAGATTTATCACTGTATCCGGTTCTTACCGTGATCTATAGATGAAAATTCTCATATTATTGTCCACTTTTTTATTTACGCAATACATTCTTTACTAGTTACAAATTACAAATTATGAACCAACTTCTGTATAAATTAAATAAAACTAAATATTTGCATTTGACAACTTTAGCAGTAAAAATTCATTGTGAAAATTTACAAAATATGTCATTAAAATAATTGTCGTCTTGGTTCAGGGAATTCCATTTTATGTTGGGTTGGATTAATACAAATCGTTGATGATAAAATAACAGAAAAAAGTTAAAATATACATAAATAATATATAAATAATAATCTGATATTATTTGAATTTGAAACAAATAATTACTATGAAAATTCTCTTTGAATTTTAAGAACTATGACGTATTAGTGATATTTTAGATTTATTTAAGACGAATCATGGAATAAATCTAGTATAATTTGCTACTTCAACTAGCAAGAGCATGGAATTTAGATGATACTTTAGAAATAGTCTTTTTTGATGTTCCAAATATTTTCTTGATACTTTTCAAACCAAACCTATATACGAAGTAATAATATAATTCATATAATCAACAAAAAAAAAATATCAAAAACATGTCATAGTTATATTTGACTAAAATATTAACACCGTGTATGTTTATTATGTTAAGAATTTCCGTCGATTTTTTTTATTATAATTTTATATTTATGTAAAAAGTATACATATTTATAAGGCATATTTCAGATTTTTAATAATAGCTAAAGAAAAAGAGCACTAACACACAAGTATAGGTCAATTGGCTGCTCGACTCGAGCGCTGACTAAGCTTTGAAATTAATCTACGTTAGGAGTTCAAAGAAAGCCTATTAATTTCGTCTTAGCACTTCATTCGCTGGAACGTTGTTTAAAACATTTGCTATTTTATATAAAATTAATAACAAATAATGCAACACTAAATCAAATAACACCAAATTCATTGCGATTTATTAGTAATGGCAACATTCTTCAAATTTGACAATGACAGCGAAAAATGTATTGAAGTTAAAAACGTCATAATACGTACTTTTTATTATAGTAAAAAGAGTATATTAAAAAAGATTTTTATGTTTCATAATCTTAATTATTGATATAAAAAGTCCAATATACATCTAAGCTCTCAAGTCCTTAAGAGACCTTTGTCGTATCTGTTTTATTATCAACCTTTATTGAGCACTAAAATCCATATAGCTCAATAAGCCGTTCAATCTCTAGTTATATGAAAGATGATATATGACTTTACTGTATTAAATGAGATACTTATTTAGTTAAAAAAATTAATAATAAAATATGGACTAAAACTTCTGACATACGCTGATTTTGTGTCGACTAAAACGTAATAGTAACATAAAAGTCTAAATGAAAGCAACGTACGAAAAATAAATAAATATATAACTGTTATACCAGACGCAAAATTTAAAGCCACAATAAATAATGAAAGATATAAAAATTGTCCGAAAAGTAAGAAAGTGAAGCATAAAAGTTAATTATATTATAATAAATAACTATTAGTAGGTAATAATTATTTAATCAGTAATATTAAAGTGAAAATATACCTGAAGGATTTCGAATATTACCAAATAAAACCTTTAAAGTATAACTGTACGCCTACAACACGCCTACCAGAAACTTCATTAACATATTATTGAGTTACGTAATGTTTTATACGTACATAAAAGAAATCATTAAAAACTTAAAAAAAATATATATGTAGAATAGGTGTAAGAATCATATTACTTTATTTTATTACCGTTTAAACAAAAACAACAAACGTTCCCATTTGTTATGTTAAATATCGTAAGAATGATGGATCGTGTACTGACTATACGTGATTCGCATCCGCAATCAATACAACAACTAACATATCACAAATAACATTCATTTATGAGATACCTGCTTCCTTTACTTATTTAAAAAAATGTATAATTAATTATATTACCTACGCACGAAAACGACCTAAAACTATTTCATCTCTAAAATGCATGAGCGAAGGCGGCGTAGGCGCAAGGTCGAACCTACAATGCAGTGTTATAAACCGCAGACATTCAATTTTTAATAAACGAAACGTTAATAAAAGAAATAAAAGAATATCTAGACTGAAGTAACAGTATATAAAATAAATTGAACCATTTAGTATAAAGAAAAATGTTATGTTTTAAATGCTAAATTCTATTCGTAATGGGATTCACGCTCCATAGCGCTTTCATAGCTGTAAAGTAGACGGTGAGGGTTACAAGACTGTGTAAGGCACGCAAACACTTCTTAATCCTTTACCTTCTTTATTATGAACCTGAACCACCCCTTTACAATCTTTATTGAACTACTCACTTTAATTATTTATATGAAATTCTTACTTAAATGTAAGATTTGTGTTAGAATATTGACAAGTAATAAGAAATGATAAGTCATAATTACAATATACTAATTAAAAATATAATTTGAATGAAAAAAAGGTTTTATTTAGTAATAAGTATGATATCTGTTTAATAAACTTTTATAATACAACTAGTTTTTGCCCGCGACTTCGTCCGCATTAATTTCGTCATCTATACTAATATTATAAAGCTGAAGAGTTTGTTTGTTTGTTTGTTTGTTTGTTTGAAAGCGCTAATCTTCGAAACTACTGGTTCGAATTGAATAATTCTTTTTTTATTGGATAGTCCAGTTATCGAGGAAGGCTGTAGGCTACATAACATCACGCTACGACCAATCGGAGCCAAGATATAGTGGTAAATGTGTAAAAAACGGGAGAAATTATTTCATCTTTGAAGCCTTCCGTTGCGTGCGCCGTGAAAACGGTTCAAGATACACAAAAAATATGTATTAAAGAATAATAGCTCTTTTAATGATCTAAAAAACAGTCCGCGACAGTGTATCTCTATCTTTTAAGATTAACTCACAAAAACCGTTTTTATGGTACCTTATTTGGTCGAAATAATTTGTTTAAGTTGTATCAACATAATAATATTAATCTTTAT